TCTGCTAGGTCTGAAAACTGCAGAAGAGATAGCAGACGGTTCAGACACAAGACACAGGCTTATTGCCAAATTGATCGTAGTAGGTTGGCTGATAAAATCTTAATGCTTAATACTTAAATACCATGGAAGAAAGAACTGGTTTGTAAACTCCCAAGAGGGGAGTAACCAATGCTGTTGTTAACCAATGACAGAGCTTTTCAGTCAGACCATATTACCTTGCACTAAGCTTTAGCATACTCAGTACTAGTTAGCAGTGTAGGGCCAAAAGAATCTACAGCCATACCCCAGTATCTACCAAGGATGCGCTCCCAAAATGTGTAACATTTAGCAGTTTGACAGAAGAAACCTACTTGACCCACAAGAATTAGTGTAATAAACAGAGGATATATGCAGGGACTTCAGAAAGAGACTTTAAATACACAGAGATAGTACATATGAGGTAGAGCATCACAGAATAGGTGAGGCTGGGAGGGACCTCTGGAGATCATCCGGCCCAACCCCCTGCTCAAGCAGGGTCCCTTAGAACAGGCTACCCAGAACCATGCTCAGACTAGATATAAGGAAGAAATTTTTTACAATGAGGGTGGTGAAACACTAGATGCTCCATCCCTGGAAACATTCAAGGTTGGAGGGGACTCTTGAGTAACCTGATCTAGCTGAAGATGTCCCTGCTCACTGCAGGAGGGTTGGACTATATGAGCTTTAAAGGTCCCTTCCAACCCAAACTTTCTAATGACTCTACATCTAGATGGCTTTTGAATATCTCCAAGGTGGGAGAGTCCACAACCTCTCTTGGCCAGCCATTCCAGTGCTTGGTCATCCTCACAGTGAAAAAGTGTGGCCTTGTGTTCAGTTGTGTTTCAGTGTGTCTACTGCCTCCTATCCTGTTGCTGGGCACCACTGAAAAGAGGCTGTTTCCATCTTCCCTACATCCTTCCCTCAGGTATTTGTACACACTGATTAAGATCCCCCAATCCTTCTCCCCTCCAGGCTGGACAGTTCCAGTTCTCTTAGCCTTAACTCACAGGAGAGATGCACCAGTCCCTTAATCATCTTCATGGCCCTTTGCTGGACTCTTTCAAGTATCTCCATGTCTCTTATATTAGGGAGCCCAGAACTGGACACTGTATACCAGGTGTGGCCTCACCAGTGCTGAATAAAGGGGAAGGATCATCCCCCCTCAACCTACTGACAACAGGATGGAAAAGCAGCTCGGGATCACCGATTCATCAAACAGAAGAAATCAGGATCTGAGTTGTCCAACAAAGGAGATGCTGGCATTTCATAATGGATCACATCACAAAAGATTTCATCACCATCAGATTTCACTGCTATCACTTTCCTTACGTAATTTAATGGAAAAGGACAGAAAAGTGAGGTGATGATAGCAATTAATAGTGCACTGTATTAAATGATCAGCAACAGAATTCTGAAGTGCTGGGTAAAGAAGCAACAGATACAGCAAGGTCTTGCTGTACTTTGGTAACTGAATCTAGCTCTCTCACTATGATCAGACTGCCACTTAACGGCAAACATCTGAGATCACAGAGTCTACCTAGAAGTAGCTCGGTGCTCAAACATGTGGCAACACGGATCAGCCGTGCTGAACGTCTTGCAAAGAGGAAAGCTTTTCATACCATTTAAAACAGACCCGGTCCTCTCCAGAACTCGCTGCCCTTCACTGTTGGGTGACGGTAAATCTGCCCTACACACAGCCTTCTCCGTGCAGTGTTAAGCACCGTTAGCCTGAGCAGCACTCCAAATGCTAATTACTACTGCTCCCCCACACTTGCCTTTTCACTGGGGGGGGAGTACGTTAACCAGATCGAAGAGAAAGGAAAGATGAAGGGGGAATAACAAAAAATTTTAAATACAAATGTGAATTGGGCAGATGGAACGTGAAGTCAAGGGGTAAAACATCATTTTCCTGAGGCGGAAAGCAAGGAAAGCTTCCCTTGGAATATCCCAGCGTCGCTAAGGGGAGAGGCGTTCATAGGTTTACGCGGTTCCTGCCGTTCGGCGGGATGTGCGCAAGAGATGCTCTGCGCTCGGGGCTCGGCGCAGCCCGCGGAGCGGAGCGGGGCGCGGGGAGCAGGGAGCGGGGCGGGCCGGCC